TGCAGCGTACTGAAGTGCAAATATGAATGATGTGCAACGATGACTTGTACAAGAAAGTCCACGCTTTCCGTTCGGGACAAGTGTGAGTCCATGTGCACAGTGTATAAAGCAGCACATATGTTTCGGTGTCCAGTGGGAAAAAGCTTTGCCAGGTGAGAGTCGCGCAATGTCGATGACGAGTCCCCACCTCCCGCCTCTCGTACTGTGTCCTGGTTTTGACAAACGCAAATATGGTCACACTAACCTGTAATCCGCTGAGTCGTCTCTTTTAATCCGACAGAAATTGACCGCATCAGCGACACAAGAGCTGTAGTTTTATCTTCGCTTAGTTTATGCAAATTAGCGATGCGGTTTTAAGTTTCGTTTCTGTGAGAGTTGCGCAAAACTGAATTAAACACATTATAATTTCAAACGGATTGATGTGGCTCTAGAGTCGTTACAGTTTATATGTCGTAAAGTTGAATTTATTTATGCAGATTAGTAGTGCAGATAGTAATAATAATGCTGATAATTTTAATATAAAAACGTTAATGATTAATCGATAATCGATCGTTAATTCTTCCGATGATCGATTAAGAAAATTTCACCGAATGCCCATCCCTAATACACACACACACACACACACACACACACACATATATAATATATATATATATATATATATATATATATATATATATATATATATATATATATATATATATATATATATATATATATATATATATACTAAATCTATGTTAATACTTGACAGTACAAGGCAAGGTAAGTGCCCTATAAATTTGTCTATATTTGACCCTATGTCAGGCCCTAATGCCTGGTATGTTGACTCTGCTGTCAGGCAGCCAGTGATCAAGGACTAATAGAGGCTTTTCGTCTGCCCAGCGACCCTGGGTCTAAGGCTAACTCACACTAGAGGAGTTACATAGGGCAGAGCCAACATAAGCAACAAATATATTTTCATTTAGACTGCAGTTTTATTCCTCCGGAGAGAGTGCGTGGAAAAAAAAAAGTGTGTATGTGTATGTGTGTTTGTTAGAAGTAAATAAAATATATATATTTTAGCCATGTAAAGAAAATGTGTTAATTAAAAGCCAGCACAATACAAATGACATTGCATTTTCCACATGTGTTGACATCCATCAGTTAAATGCTGTATATCTGTGTGCCATGTCCTTGTTGGTCTTCTGACTTCTGCATTGATAAACACAGGCCTCAGCTCAGCACTGGCCAAGGCAAATGTTTGAGCCACCTGTTGCAGGAAACCTGAAGCTCTCTGGAGATGTAAAGATGGAGCTGTAACTCAGGCTCTGCTCCAGATTCAAGTCGCTGTGGAGGAGAACAGAACAGAAGCTGAGAAACACAGTGTGCACAAGATTAAAAACACACACTCAATTGGACAAAAATGAGTGTCCACCTTTTAATCAGGTCGGGCCTAAAACACTGTTTGGAGTGTTTGGCTAAATGTTTGATGCAAAAAGAAATAATCCGCTCTAGATTGTGTAAGATGGTCACTTTCTGTGTAATTTAATAGGTTTGGGTTTGCACAAATGCTGCCACATGGTTAGTTTATGAACATGGACTTGATGCATTCTGTCTAATCCTGGAAGAGCCACTGCTGGATAAACACTGGTCCATGTCTGTTTGGGTGCACTGCTGCTGGGGAAATAGACTCATTAGTCATTAGTGAGTGGAGTGCTGGTGCTGGGCGCTGCAGTGGTGCTGGGCTTTGTACCTGAGCATTTAAGCATACATACATAACATAATAACATAACATAATATGGGAAAATGGTATGGTCACTCAGAGACAGATGTGACATTGTTGGTGCTGTTTATTTAGCACTAAAGATTTAATAAAATATTTTCTGATTTCATCATTTAGCAGCATTTTCAGCAGCATCTCCTAAATTCTGAATTTCTCATTGATCAGACTTGTACTGCCTGTAAATGTCATCCAGTGCTTTTGCTGCTGTACTCTATTTGTGTCTTGTTTTAAATATAACAGGTGATGTGGCCAGTTTTACGTGTGTTTGGGGTTATACAGTTGTATTGGTTAACCATAAGAGCAAGTAATTGTTTTTTATCTGGCAAGTATCTTTTCAAAACCAGCACTTCAAACCCAAAGTTAACAGCAACTATGTGCTGGTCACCTCTTCTTAGATCTGCATCTGAACTGCTGCCCTCTCTGCAAATACCCCTCCTCCCCCGGTCTCTCTCATGGCCTGCTTCCTACCCCCTCGGCTGCTGTGAAAGCCCCCAGGACTGTGGGTCTTTCAGTTTTTCACGTTTACAAAATCCACTCTGTTTAAAAGCTCCAACTTACACTCTCGCTCCCCTTCGCCATCTCTGCCTCACTCCCCCTCTCCCCGGGATGTAAAATATTCACAGCTGCTGCTGCGGTCGGGTCGTGCGGCCACAGGACTTTCTGCGCAAACAGAGAAACTGTGAACGTGTGAAGCCAATGGTGTATGTTTCATTTGAGGTCCGACACAGGTCCGATAGATCCTGATGTAGTCAAAACAGAAACCGCATACTGGGCTTCACCACATGCCTCAACAAACCAAACACTAACCAAGCAAATCCAAGCACAACAGTTAAAATGAGATTGGCAAACAGCTTTTGAAACCAGTTTGGTGGACAGTGAAATAGGAGAAATGATGCGTGGCTTGAAGCCGCTGAACTGACAGATGCTAATGTCCCTCGCGTTGATAATGAGCATGTAACATCTGTCTTACATAAATGCACCGCTTTTTAAGTGTGGCCTTGTTATGCATTATAGCTAAAGGCAAGGCTGTATTAAGTCATGTTTGAGTTGCAATAAAAATACATGAACTATTTCAAGAGCTCACGATAAGTTTCTATCATAACTGCAATCATTTAAACATAAATGCATCATTGTATTTTTGACTAAGGCCTCCGCACCTACATATGTAGACTTTTTTTTGCCACCAATATATAAAGACATGTTTGCTTAGGAATGCCAGCCCTTGAACTTTATGAGGGAGGGAAAAGGGTAGAGGAGGGGGGATCAGTGTCTTGAACACATTTCAGTGTAATTGTACTTGATATGTCGTTTACAGAACACCCAAGTAATCGTATAAACAAAGGACTAGATGCCCCGGGAGGATGAAAGGAAATCTGAATCTCCCTCTGATGCATCATACTTACTCACGTTTTGACATGAGGACTATGCTGAGTACTCCACTGCATTAAAAGAAGATCCAAGACCTTTTTGTAATAAACACAGCAGGACAGAAGATATCTAAAAATACTGTTCTACACACAGAGCAGATGGAAAATGAACTTTTTTTTAAAACTTTTGTTAAACATTTGATAACCTCCCAAGTTATTGATAAGTTGATTGTTTTTTGATTTTGTTTTGTTAATACTTTTCACCAATGCCAATCCAGATTCTTATGCGTGAAGATATCATAGGAGACAGACCCTTAAAACACAAGCCAAGTCCAAGTAAAAGCAAGAGATGAAGCCAAAGGAATAAAGAAAACATGACATCATAGTTAATTAGAGTCAGGTGATAAACACAGAGTGATATTTACGTTACACCATATGCCCTGCTACATGTGTCTCTCTTTCTCGGGGGCACAGCAACAGATTTCAGACAAGTAAGGTCAAGGAGGAGGCCTTTCCCAGCTGCTATCGACCACACTGAGGCACACACTCCTCTGCAGCCAGCCCACCACATGTCGGTGTGTCTCGGCTCTGTCTAAAGCCTGGTGCCGCTTTGTCATTATCACATAAAACACTGTGTTTATCCTCCACAAAGCCGTGTTTGCCATGTTGTATTTGTAAGAGGGAAGTTTTTGCACTGAGAACTGAAAACCCCAGAACTCATCAGCCAGGTTGAGGAGCGTAATTACTTACAGATTTTGAAATGTCTGCCGGAGAAGGACTCAGTTTACTTATTTGTAGTTTGTTAGAGCCCTGATTAGTTGGAGGAAGATGTCGAAGATACTTTAAAGAAGAAAGTGACCTGACCTTTGAAATTGTAACATGACTAAATCATCTCAAATGAAAGACCTACATGGGAGAAATTAGCAACAATAAATTCCCTATTATGTAACCCACCTATGTTTTATTACCAAACTGGGTTGGAAAGTTACTATAATACACATTTAAATATACAGAGCCTGGGCCTAGAATATATATGTTACCCAAACAAGATCAGCTGTACATTTGAATATACCAGGACCAGTTAATTCATCATGTATTGTTTCTTCCTTGAAAGCATACGTGTAAAATGACAATGGACTCGGGCATCAAATGAAAAAGAGTGATATTTCCAGGGATGACCAGCACAGAGTCCAGATTTGAACCCCACCATGCATGTTTGGCATGTGTTACTTATTACAGTGTGTTTATCAGACATTGTTAATATCCATGATTGTCATAGTGTCTGTTCTGCACTGAATCACTATTGCCTTTTAGAAGTCTTAACAAACACATTGCAAACAAATAAAAGACAAATATATTTATTTGAAGTTTAAATGGTAAGTATTTTAAAAGAGAAACATAAATGGTAAAAAACAAAAAAAACAAGTCTTGTCCTTTTCGGGTTTTCTTTTCGTTAAATATTACACAAAATAAATAAATTTAAAGAAAATGTCATAGTATTAGACTTGCTGTTGCATCACTGCTTCTTCCTCTCACAACTATAAAGTTCCCTTTTCAACTTTTCCCTAACTATCTAGCTTTTGGTCGCTCTGTATTCCTTTAGCTCAGATCAACACAAATTAGATATTTTTGGCACAGAAGTCCATTCTTTTTCATGTTTTCTGCTGTGCCAACATTTATAACTTAAAGCAAAATAAAATATACATTGTATACCAATATATCTCATTTCTTTATCTTAAAATAAACGTATTTTTCAACACAGAAATATTTATCATTTTGCAACTTTTCCATCTCAGTGCATCACATAGACTCTTCAGTATAGTTTTTAGAGGAGCTTCAAAGTGTCCACCTCTCTCCTGGGTGTCACATCACCGTGGTAGGACCATAATAGGCAGGAAGTGCGTTGCTGTATTTTTCCTTCGAGTCTTCTTTCCTCTCATTGGCTTGCCATTGGGATTAAGTCCAACAAACATGTGCTTTTTTTTGTTCCGCCATTCAGCTGAAGCGTAGGTATTGTATTTGTTTTCTTCAATGCGTTCGATCAGGCGACAGTCCGGACCAAACTCACTCTGCACACAACAAATACAAACAAACATGTCAGGAAAACTGGATTGTCCTTCCTCTATCTCTTAATAACCCTAACTCCATTTTTGGAATTTCAGAGTTATACCTTTATAACTTGGATATCTACAGTGACTGTAGAAATAGGTAATATGCCAAAAAAAAATGTTTTTCTTCATTCATAAACATAAACTCCTTCCTCATTTTTCAAAAAAATTGTCTATTTCCTTTTCAAAAATTTGAGCACAGGAGATTGGTTATATCTTCTCACCTAAAATTACATAAGCATATAACTGTAGAAATTAGAAATGACTGAAATTTAAAATGTTATTAATTGCACAGCAGTACATAGAAACATGTTCCTGAATGGTCAGTGGTTGAGCTTGGTTTGGACTAGTGCATAATGTCATTGTGTCCTTAGGCAAGACACTTCTCTCACCAAACCTATTTCTGAAAGTGGTGTAAGCATGAGTGATTGTTGGTGGTCAGAAAGGCCAATGCATTGTTAAGTATTTTTGAGTGTCCAAAAAAGTATTATATGAATCGAATGCATTATTGTTAGAAATAAGTCAGTTTACTTCAGGGCAATGTTTCTTACAGACAACCACATGGATACATTTAATATTTGTAAGGTCATGTCCAGAATGCACAAAAGCATGTGAACAGATGTGTGTATCCACAATATAATTCATTCTTTCTGCCACAGCTGTTCAGATCCAGAACTGAACTCAAACTAGATGTTCCTAAAGCAAAACTAAAATCTATGACTCACATCTTGAGAAAAAGGCTGCTGTCTGCTACAAACAAATGTGCAGTATTCACATAGTTTATGAGTTAATAAGTCTTGTTTTCTGTGCAGAACCACTAAAAACACCACATAAGTAATTTCTTTCTCATTAATCTGAAAATGCACATTAACAATGATTCCACTTGATTAGAAGAGGATAAAGAAGTCACTGTGTACAGCCATCAAGTGTAATGCAAGCCCCACCACCACGCCGCTGAAGCTTGTGTTGCAGCATCAGGACGACGTAATGGGAATTCAGTTTCAGGCCATGCAACAGAATGCCTCTTTCTTTTCTACCGTGTGTCATTTCATCTGTGGTGTGGCTCTAGAGAGACATGCTGAAAGTTTGCTTTTCAAAGTTGCAAAGGAGAAAAAGGCAGTAAAGATGAGATGAAGAAAAGAAGAAAGAGAAAATAGATGAAACAAGGGCTGCTCAGCCCAGAGGGACCAGGGCAGAATAGGCAACTCAAGGATTGTATTTCCTGTTTCTGAATGGACCTGAGAGCTAGTGGAGACTAGTCTCACCTCCACTACAAGTGGTGTCTGTTTCTGAAATGTACGATTGTCAACAGATTACAAACTGTAATAAAACAGCCATCATCCATTACTTGCATTATTTTTCAAAACAAGGATGTAAATAAGATGCTAGCTTGGTATCATGCAGTACTATTCAGTCTAAACAACAATACTTACTGCTCCGTATAGCTCCCCCTTCTTGCTGATAGCCAGATAGTAGTTGCTGCTGAGACCTCTGATGGCAACCACTCCAACATCCACAGACTTGATCTCAAGAATACCTGAAACAAACAAATACCAATATCAGTGCTGTGCCTTGGTCAGACTGACCCTGTTTTATTGAGTTTCTCATCATGTAAGCTTTTAGGGCATAAGTAAGTAATCAAACATTATCAGTGTTGCTATTCAAAAGACAGACCCACTGGTCTAAAGGCTTCATGCTTATCATAGAAAATTTGCTGATATTGAGAATTGTAGCACCATAAAGTATTGAAGTTTCCCTTTTCATCTGCTGGTTCATATATGGGCCAGGTGCCCTGGAACCAAAGTGTGAGCCAGGTAAAAGAGAAAAACATGGGAATTTTTCAGTTTGTTTGTTTTTAGCAGAGCGTGAGCAAGCGGTCACTGATTTCTGGCAGCCAAACTTGTGATTAAGCTGTGGTTGTCAAAAAATATCTTGCCAGTTCAAGTGCTAGTTCTACTCATTTTGTACAGTTTTTCTCTGAGAGATTGACATGTACAATTTTTATGAAGATTCTTTAACTGTAATCTATTTGCTCTCTAATGTATATATTTGCCCTAAAATGTTTCGACCAATGATCATTCAATGGAACCTGAGGGCAGAGTATTAGTGTTAGCCACCTGTTTGAACTCTTTCTCTTCCCGTGTGTGATGTGGTTTGTGGAAAACCAAAGCACAGGGCCCTTTTATGGCCTTGTTACCAGTTACCAGAAGTGGTGTGCTGGCTTGTAAGGACAGACAACTACTAAAGTCTTAAAAGAAAAGAGAATAGTTTATGGCTGGCAGTTGCAAAGCTCAATTGTGGATTTTAAATGTATTATAAATGATCATTTTTGCTGCAACAGTATGGAGAAAAACAGTACTCTAAAAGACTCCTGCTGGACCCAGGGGTTAAAGAAGGTTGTGAAAATGTTCCACTGTTTATCTAAAGGCTTTTTGAAGATTATACTGTGGTTGTTCACATTGTGACCTCGACATGACGACCAGCTGTGAGTAATATACTGTTGGCTATTCCCTTCAGGCTCACTCTTTGTCACTTCAACTATGAAGAATTTTGTCACTCAAAATGTTGGATGGACATTTTGGTAAATCATGTATTTTGAATTATACTGATGCAGACAATATAGGAAAAACACACTGTAAATAGGGAACAGCATTAGGTATTTTTGTGTGCAGCCTTTCCTTGAGTGGTTTGTGAGAAAAGCAACAACACAACATATAGGATTGTTCAAATGCATGAATGAAACTCAATAACTCAATTTATCTCTTATCATTCTTCCTATGGCTTTCACTTTTACTCTCAAATTTCTGAAACATTATGGGTTAGGAAAAAAATACTGTACTGTACAATACAATCTGTATCTGAATGCTGCAGAGGTCTAGGGCTTTTAATTGAAACAGGTTTGAGGTGTTGACAGCAAATGTATCAACTGAACAACTACTGAATGTGGTTTTAAAATTGACATAAGATAAACAAACTCACTCTTTATAATGTTCACAATACTTAAAGATTTCTTATCACACAGATGTATAGAACATACATAGAATATACAATGACATTCTATAGTATAATAAACAATACTGTTCCAAATCACACACATTGTACAGACGAGACACCTCATGGTGTCCTATGGGAGATTGTTGTCGCACATTTTAAATTTACATTTATGTACCAGTATTGTCTGCATCACTAATATTGCGCATGTATGCATATTCATGATTCAGCTCTGCTGGGTTTGTGTTTGGGACTAGCCTCACTTGCCTTGTACATGTTTTACACTTGTTCTATACTCTATACACACACACACGCACACACACACACACACACACACACACAAATAATTGTAATTAGCTGGCATTCGTGGCAGTTCTGTCGCAGCAGCAGCTTGTCCAGATGCCTCACTGAAATGAGCTTGGCGCTATAGGCCTACCTTTGATGGCTCCATTAAGAGGCTCACTTTAATGCTTGTGGGCTCTGAGGCTGTGTGACTGCAGCAGGGTTAGGGGTGAATGAGAAAGTCTGGCATGGGCTAGAACATGGTGGGGGCTTTTCCAACAGCACTGATGTCTATCAGGCTGCAGCAGACCTGGATGTTATCTGTCACAGATGCTATTCTTCACCCCCTGCTGCTTTACTGGTCATGAATCCTGCCTGCTCACATGCACCAGGCTAACATTGGACTGACACTTTCAGTTGTGGGCCTTTAATACACTTTTATTACAAAGACAGGTAGTGGAAATGGCTGCTTTGCCTTCATTTTTATATCACACTTTGGGACACCACAATTAATCAAAATGTACTGTTTATTTTTCAGTCTGTTTGTAAGATTTGATTTTAAAAAATCAGAAAAGGTTTGGTTTTGGAAAAAAAGTAAATTATAACTTCTAAATTATACATTTTAAAAGGTTAATAATCTAAAACATTTTGGTGCATTTATTTATCATTGAGATATAACACATTATACTATCCACTCCACAAGGGGTCATAGAGGAACAAATGGTTGGTGCCTCAAGAGTATTATCTGTGTTGTATCTGGATTGGAAGCAGACTTTATAAAGAAGTGGACCAAGTGAGTGTGACATCGCTCATAGTGTTTGGCTCCAGCCAAACGAAGTTCACTGAGGCTTGCAGGTATAGGCGTGAATTTGAAGTTGAGCTCCTTATTTGGAAATCAGCCGCGAGTATCATTGCAACTAAAGACCTTATCACAAGCAATACTATTGAAGGTACACACCCCTTCCCACCCACATCGCTGGTTTAGCAGGGAGCGGGTGCTTGACACTGTCAACTTGGGGAAACCTGGGATAAAAGCAACTGATTTGACTGTTATTAATACTCATATTTTAATTTACGGACAAAATAGCCAAATAATACCAGAATCATGTAGGAGTTTGTTAATATGAACATTTTAGGACCTAAATGACAAGCCGTTACAAAAAGAGGGGCAATGGTTTTTCAATACAAAGTGAAATGAAGTGCACTATCTATTTGGAATGCAGCAGATAGCAGGTTAGCTATGCCCATTTATGTGTACTGTCTATGATGAGAAGTAATTCCAAAAATATATAAATGAAATGACAATCATAAAAGTTCTGAAGTTCTGAAAACTTTTTTGGAGGGATGCAAAGCACTGTTTCCCTGCTGACCCCACCCAGTACACAATCTATACTGTGTTACAAACACTGGAAAGTTTTTGCAAGTTCATGAAGAGATAATGCAGCTGGAACATTTAAAGAGAAAGAGAAAGACTATAATATACTGTGTCATGGATACTTAACTCCTCCTATAGATAAAAACTATAATATGTTGCTTCATGGACACTTGAGCCAAACGACATGCGACAGACAGGAAGAGCCAGAGCAGATGGCACTGACATGAGCACTCCACACTCCTAATAACATAGCTCAAAGATGCTCATCATTGATCATGGCCCTTGCTGGTGTGATGAGACCTAAGTAAGTAATGTAAGCACATTCTCAGCATGCGCACAGAGGTGCTCTGTGAATGACCCTATATACTGTGCAATGGGGTCAAAGGGGATTCATTCATCTGAAGCCCCCACACCAACAATCCTCTGGCAGAGGGAGATCAATCTATTGGGAGTATTACAGAAAACAGAGGATTTTCAAAACAAGCATTATTATACTATTATACTCAATTAAGTGTTTTCAGTTTCTCTGTAATAACTGTCAGTATACCAGTAGTGCTGACTAGTCTAATATATTATATTTGTACCAGAAGTGTATATAGTAAAGTGTATTATATTTAATCTACAAGTGCATAAAGTAAAGTCACAAAAATATTTATATTTGGCAACTCTAATAAAATGTAATGATGTAAACTTTATGCAGCTTTATGCAAATCACTGACATGTTAGTAAATGAGGAAGAAGCACATTTGAAGACTCAAGTCAGTTCAGCGGTAAGTGGTAGAATAACACCGGTTGGCTGTATTTGTTGTCTGTTTTCACAGTACAGCTCAGGGCCATCAGTGGGGCAGCCTCTGGCACTTGAGAGTAGGGATTCACTTATGGCTGCAATGTTTCGTGCAATAGCATTTCTATAATTTACTGCTGCTAGAGAGGAAAGTCTATGAAGATGTCAAAGTAACTGAATGAGAAGCAACACTGACACTAAACTCTGATGCATCCAATGACTCCCCATAACTCTTTTTTATGGGCCACACTGTTACCTTTTCCCACGAGAACCCTAAACGCACTCATCAGTCCAAGAACTGGGAGAAACAGGCTGAGTAAATCAAAGCAACGACTGAGACTAATTTTTTGAAGATGTTACTGCTCCTGTTTATAATATTGATGCATTTGACCTATTTACATCAAGCATTTCTGAAATTTGTCGTAATGTAACGTAACACTGGGTTAATGGGTTCATGAGTATAAATCCTTGCATTTACTTGTACCTAGAAGTTTCACTATTCCCAATCTTTGTGAAACTGCTGTCCCAAGTGATTGCCTCCTGCATATAGCTTTGACTTGTCCATTTACTAAGCTTCCTGCCTTGGGTCAATAGGTAGAGGTCAAATCAGGGGGCTCCTCTGAGTAATTAGCCTGGACATAACATCATTGCTTGTTTAAATCTGAGAAAGATAAAACATCAGGTTTATTAGGTTCTCCATAAATTGTGTTCTGTTGGATTTACATGTCAGTAGGCACTGCGTCTGCTGTGATTAATGTAAGCAATAAGTATGTGTGACAGCCCCGACTGCGTGGGCAGCCATAAAATTCTAACTCTCCAGCTGTGAGTGATGGCACCATTTGTAATACAGCGGTGCTGCTGCTGGTCCAGAAATGTATATATTTTTACCAATTATTCACCTGTTTTAATTCAGTGTCTTGATGCATTTTGTAGTATCCCTTGTACTAATAATGACAAGTTTGTAAATATAATTATACAAACAAAAGGACTAGTTTGAGTAAAAATATAATAAAGGTAAGATAATAAAATAACCCCCCCAAAATGACTCCTCAAATTCAATTTGTTTGCTGCACACACAAGTTATTGGTGCTAGTACAGTCTCAGTAGACCTCTGCAACCTTAATATACCAGTTGTTCACTACAATACTCCCCATAACTAACAAACCAAGGCTCCAAGAGTTTGGACCAGCAACAAACCATCTTATATAAGTGACAGTGGTTCAGTGGTTCTGAAATGGATGTGTTGTGCCAATAAGGCCGTGACCTGATGTCATTTCAGCTAGTGACACGTTGCACCCTAATGGTGGAGTGCTTTATGTGCATGTGTGCTAGGACTGCAGGCTAGAGGGAGGGAGGAAGAGCCGCTAATTGAAATTCCTTCAGCCATGTCTGGCAGAGCCGTGGTGTCTGAGTGGCACACGCACATGTACACACATATTCACACTGGCCCTGGCCCTAATAAAAGTGGGCTTTGCCATATGGAGGCCATGTGCAAGACTGGCCTCTCTGTGCAGGAGAGTGTGCGCGTGTGCCTCTGCGGGAGAGGTACTATGTACAGTAGAGAGAGATCTCCAGACTGAGGCTAATGTCACATAAGAGTGATGTGCACATGACACACCTTTGCTCTGCAATCTCAACTATAAGGCCCATTTAAAAACGCATCTGCACAAGTTATAACCTCTGTGCAGTACATGCTTTACTGGAGACTGTTACAGCATCACATAGCTTGGGTTTGTCTTTAAAACTAACCACTTGATATATCCTTATAGATCTAAAATGGCAATGAAACTAAACAGGTAAGTTTAGGAATTTCATTACAAAATGTTCTTTTCTCTCTCACCAACTACTGCTAGTGCTGTTGGCACAGTGCATCTTATTTAAGGCACTCAGAGGCTTGGGAATATGGAAGAACTTCCAGATGTGTTTAACTAGAAGATAAAACATGGATTATATCATTATATAGCAGCTGATTCCCTGTTCACCATGCTCATTAATTATTATGATGACCCTTATGTTATAGGAACCTCTGGTGGTAGCTTAAAGAGGGGGTGCTTTTGTACTGCTTTATAAGCAGCTGTCCCACTGATGTGTAATGTTAAAGCATGTTGGTAGCATGTATGCTCTCAGTTACAAGGAAATTTCTGAATGTATCCACATGACTTGTGTGTGTACTGTGTACTGTAGCTTTTTAAAAATATATATATATTTTATTGCTGAGTAAAAATCCAATCAATGTCTGTTCAACAAGTTTAAACAAAGTTTAAACAAAGAAAAGGGTATGTATGTAAGAATATATGTATGTCCTTTTGACGTTTAGATACGTGCTGTATTCCCACAGTCTAAGAACTTTCTCTGGGCAATATCTAATTGCTTCCAGTGGATTCTCTCTGTGTGTGTGTCTGGCTTACCCATTTGTTTTTCCCCTCTTTTCACTTGTAATGCTCTTTCCCAAACTCGTGGTACTTTGGCAAATATGACCATCTACGCACAGACTTGAAATGACTTGAAACATGGATCCTTGCTATTTTTCTCTTGCTCATCCACCTGTTCATAACTTCCTATAAATGAATCTAAGTCCATTCTTTAGATCAAATAAGTAACTTTTCACATTTTTTGGGTCATTATACTTCTCATAAAATAAGTGTAGTTTTCATATTAATAGTTGAATTTCACTTACTGTAAGGATCATCCTCAATCTTGGTTCCATTAACTTTTCCCTTCTTGTCAATGCGAAGGAAGAATTTTTGGTAGGAGAACAGTTTTCGCCTGCGGACATCTCCTTGCAAATGTGTGTAGCTGCTCCGCACGTGTCGCCCAACAACTGTAGCCGAGGACACGTTGGTCGCCCGTGGCAACCTTGCAGAAGATACATGCAGTGGGACGGGTGAGGGAGGCAGGTGTGAGAAAAACAGATGAGGTGCATTCTGTTTGTCTGTGGAGTCTGTGGACACTGGGGACGGGAGTGGGGATGAGGAGGAGGGTCTGAGCAGGAGGAAGAACAAGAGGAACACAAGTCTGCAGCCGGGGCAGGAGGACAACCAGGCAACTGCTGCTGCACCCTGGGTCACTGTCCATCTACACATGGTAGTGGAGCTGACAGAGCTGTGGAGGTGCTCAGGGGCTGGGGCATGCTGAGTTGATGCCGGGAGGGAGCGAGCCACAACTCCTCAGTCCGCTCCTGACAGCCACCCTCCTGGGACCTCTGGACTGCACAGAGATGAGTTTTAAATGGAGTGCCGTGGAAATGAGCGGAGGGGTACGTATTTCCCTTCCCTCTAGCTGTTTATTCCTCAGTAGCGGCGCAAGAATGTGTCCACATCCATAACTCAGATCACCTCGCGGGAACAACTGGGAGCTTGCCTCGAAGATCTCTCGCCACCTCCTCCCTCTCCTCCAACAGGCAGCTGCTCTCTGATCCTGATGGCTCTCACACTTGCGTCAAATATGGCTTGGGAGTTTAGTGCGTTCTCGCTCTAAAATGGAATCTATTCACATGTATTCAAAAATCCTCATCCAGCCAGACTGATTTTAAAAAGCAGGCAAAATCTGATGAACAAAAATAAATAAAAAACACAAGTTATGATGCAATGTCCAAAGGAATCCTCAAAAAGTTTCCCAATCCAGTCTCTCTCTCTTTCTCGTCGGATGCAGTCTGATGTCTTTGTTGCAGTAGTTTTATCTGCGCAGGGCTGAAGTTGCTCTAGTGTAAGTGAGCTGCCTGCCTGCCTGGCTGCTTGTGTGCTTGCCTCTTGGAGTGTGAGCGCCAGATCCGTGCGGTTGCCTCTCTTCTGGTGTGGCTCCCCCCTCCCACCTCTCCCTCTCCTCTCTCCCGTCTCTATAAGATTTTGGACCACTGTCTGCTTATCTGCACTTTCTCCGAGGTGACCAGGTCTTGTCATTCTTTCCACGATACATATCTACAAGAGTTTTCCACATATCTATTTGTTGGTGTAGTTTCTGTGATTATCAAAAGCAGTTGTTTTTGAAGTACCATGTAAACTAATGTGTGCATGTCTTATTGTGTGTATTCCGTGGGGTTCTGTCCCTCCCCGCTTTTCTCATTCCCTCCCTCTCGTTTACCCCCTTTCTCTGTCTCCTCCCATTCCCAGACTAAAGCCCACCAGTTGATCTGAGCACGTCTGAAGAGAAGAGAGAAGAAAACCTTTACTTTGTACCTAGTCTAACCCAAGACTTGTGGACTCTCTTTTAAATGGCAAATCATCTTTACTCTAAATGACTTATTAGCTAAACTCTGTCAATCTTATATGACACAGTTTTTCTTGCACCAATATATAATATGAAGAATTATACAGAATTATACAAAAATAAAACAATTAAATACCACCTTCACTCAAAATAAATCAGCTGGCATGCTATTTTTACTGTTAATGTCAACTCCCAAGCTGCAAAGAAGATAGCTTTAAAACATATATTGAAAGCAGACTTTGATTGTAATGTGCATCTTGTAATACTAGATGCAAAGTTTAGTCTTTAAGTTTAGCTTTTGGTTATACACTAAAAAGGGTAGTCAAGGAGGTTTATTTATGTATTTATTTATTTGAAAAGGGTACATACAATGGTAATATTTTAGCTGATTTGAGCTAATTTGAGCTCATTTTCAGTCCATAGGTGCAATACAGAGCTAATGTCTTTTAATAATAGGTGATAAATGTTACTTCAATAAGTAAAAAAACACAGGAAGTCAGTTGTTTCACTTTGGCATAACACAACTTTACTTTAGTCATATCAGTGAAAGGAATGTATATGTGGCCAGTCTTAGTGCTCTAATACACAGCTTTTTAGAGAAAGTCCCCCACGTTGTTGAGGCAGAAACCATCGCAATTGCCATCTGTATTCTTTAAGCCTAATCTTTAGATAAACATCTCTGTGCTTGGATGAAAGGATGTGTCTCTTTATCTGTGTTACTCAATGCACACTGTTGAAGAATTCAGGTACTGTCTGGTTTCAGAATTGTTTAATTTCCTTTTCACATTGTCAGACAAAAGCCATATCTCCTCTGCCTATTTTCATTTGCCTGCTCCTGTTTCCTGGTCATTTCTGTGGTCTTCATCAGTTACCCTATTAGTCTTGTCCTCATTCTGTCTTATAATAATAATATTGCCTTGCATTTATTTTGCGCTTTACAAACTTGCCAAAGTTTCTCAAAGCACTACACTGTAGTCATTATTCATTCACTCTCACAAGCTGCAACTGTAGCCACAGCAGCCCTCTGGCAGACAGACAGGAGTAAGGCTGCCAATCTGCCCTCCGACCTCCACCAACACTCACTCAGTCACTCAAACACCACATTCATACATAGGGCTGGTGGCTGAGAGGACTTGCTCTGGGGGGCACTAGTTGAATCTTAAAACAAAACGAACAACCTTGGGGGTGGTAAAGATTCATTTGACAAAAACATTTTGGGCCAACTACCATATTAAATAAATTAAAAAAAAATCTGTTATTGTAAAAAGTTAATTTTGTAAACTGTTATTTCATTAAAAATGTGGATGTGAACAGGTAAGGCTAAATGAAGGTAATGACAGGTGCTAATAGCAGTTGCATTTTAACACCATGACACATTCAGCACCACGGACAGCACTTAAGACCTGTGCTTAAGACGTGTTAATGAAAGACCTGTCATTAGTAATTACCTATTTAGAACATTTAGAATGCACACTTTTTAAAAAAACTCCTAGGCATCATTTAGTTGTAAAAGACGTAAAAGGTAATTATTATTTATTCTGAAATATTATCTGTCTGCAAATTTTTATGTAAGATACCCTTACAATATTACAAACCCAAAATCCAAGTCAGTAATGACACTGAAAGTAGGAAATCCCTTTGTGTCTGAAAATAATGCTGATGAAAGGCAGAGGCAGACAGGGAACACATCTGGTCAGTGGCATGTGGCTTAACTTTAGGGTGTCAAACAGCTTCATACAACAAACAATCCATTTCTTCGGCTCCAATAATCTCCTTGAAAAATCTGCTTGGTGAAAGATGCATTTGTCTGTTCTCTGTGAGGAAGCACGTTTGGGCAAATTATCACTCACTGATCAGTAATATTGATCTGCACTACTTGCAGCTTGGTGCTCTGTTTAAGACTGCTAACAAGATTCAGATGTTAGAAGTCACCCATGAGAGGAAAAATATTTCGTCACACTAGAAAACAAGTTTTTGGATTCACTTCCATTTTTTTTTTTTTTAAGTAGGCGGTTTCCCTTAGAATGGCTTTGTAATTGATTTGCTGTAACTATGATATGTGTTCTTTTTGGGTAGCATCTTGCAAATCAGAAATGTATTTGTTAAATCTTGCAATAACACATACTGAACTCCATGGCCCTTACTCTCTAATCCACACCACTGTTTCATTTACTTTTTTACAGAAATAACACATTAAAAATCAAATTTCCAACACCACAAACTCTCAGTTTTGAATAGTTATGATCTGTCCAATTGATCACTGAAGACACACCATATGCATTTGAACTGACTGTTGTCTGTAATTTTATTTCAAATTCTTCATGGCCGGGGCTGGGCGATTTTGTGATTATTGTCCTTGTTATTCTCCAAAAATGTAATTTTTGAAGTTGTAATGCATTAAGCATTTGAGATAAAACAGATTAATCCTAACAGTGTTGTGGCTGAATGTACCCAGCCCTGCATGTAGGCTGCTTAAAACAAAAGATTTGCTCTTTCACAACATTTATTTTAAAGTCAAGGCAGTCAGCGCTGCATGGCTATGTGCTAAACTCCTTTGCTTTGCTTCCTCTTCACACCAAGGAAAAACTTTGGTCCCTGTAACTGAACTGGGCAGCCTTTCCTGCATTTCCAAAGCAATTTATAATGCCAGAAAGTGGGGCAAATAAAACAGATTCTTTTCCCCACAAATTGATTTAAAATGTGATTTAACTGATCAGTTTAATTGATTTTTTGCCCAGCTCTACTTCACAGTTCAGAGTCTTTTCAAGACTAATTTAAATATATCAGTCTTGAATTGATACATATATCGTGACAAAACTTGTGATTCACATTCCTATAAATGGATGCAAGTTTCCTGAGTGCCCATGCCTAAAGCAATGGGCCTCTGGGGACCTGTATTTTGGCCCAGTTATTCTAATTGTTTCATTGGGGTTGAACTGGTGGCACTGAACACATTATAGTCTTCGAAACAGTTGTGCAAAAATGGCCCTGGCAGTTAAGTTTAATTACAGACACATTTAAGCACTTAGAGATCTTACGATAAGCTAACTTGCTGATCTACTACAACTCTGATTGGTCAAGCTACTTAGTCCTTATAGGTTTGTAAAGGAACACATTATTTCAGGCACTGGCTTCATTTGACAATAAATATAAGTGTATTATATACAGATAGAAATACATTCATTTATTTAAAGACAGACTGAGTCAATGCAATAGAAATAAAAAAGGTAAATGGATCAGGACAGAGATTCAATCTTTTCTACACTTGACTTGTAAGGTTTGGTTTCATAAAGTCTTCTGGTTAAAATCAGCATGGCAATGTCAAAGCATCAATTTGTTACTGAGCTCCATCTAGATTCTTCTTATCATGTTCTTATAATGGTTATACGTGTTGAGTGAAATGACACAAACAAAGAGAGAGTGAAATGGAAAATCGTCACATCACTGCATTTGCACCACTCACCTCATGTTGTTTATGTAAAGAACAGGATTATAATTACCCACACGTATTTTGTAGAACTACAAAGAACAAACCCCGATAATGCTGTCTTCACATCATTGAAGTGAACTTGTTAATATCACCTCACTGATCTGGTTTCTGTTGTTGACACGAATCTTTGAATGTTGGAAATAAAGGCCCAGATGGAGTCACACAGCTATGTTTGGTGTCACTGATGTCAGGTTTGGATGATTATCTTTGGAAATGTTTCTTAGGTGTTGGATGCCGAGCGGATAAATAGACTTTAAAATTGGCTGGCTCAAAGGTCATTTCCAATAGAAACAAGCAACACAGGCAAGTCTAGACCTGGCTGCTGTTCTTTTTCAGCTACAACTGTCCTCATCTTTTGTCACTGGGACTGTGTCTTTTATATCCAACTGTATGTTTAGAATCAGTACTCATTATGTAGTCATTCTCGAGCTGACT